GGATGGTGATGATGATGATGATGGTGGTGATAATGGTGCTGATAACGATGATGATGTGAGAAAAATAAAACCGATGATGATCATATGATGACGATGGTGGTGAGAGGATGAAACTTGTGATCGCATGATGATGATGATGATGACGACGATGATGATGTTAGCTGCTATCATTTATATGTTGGTTTGATTGTTAAGATATGATCTTACTGTACAATCCAGTGTATGTGTCTGTGTGTGTGTGTGTACGCGTATGTGTGTGTGTGTGTGCATCGATGAGATTGGCTGGCTGACTTTTATGGCGTCTTACTTACATGATGATTAGAACGACAACAATAACTACTGCACCACATCATGTTAGTGACTATGATGATGATGATGGTGGTGATAATGATGATGGTGATGCTAGTGGAAAAAATCGTGTTGATCATAGTGATAATCATAACATAAATGAGGATTTTGATGATTGAAACAATAATCATCATTATTATTTAAAACAATAATGTTAATAACCTTAACAAAAATAGTGATGAAGACCATGATGATAACGACGATGACGATGATGTTAATGGTGAAGATGAAAATGATGACGATGATAAGAAGTACTCAGCGGGAGAAGATGCAGCAGAGTCAGCAGCATGAAGAGATGTCAACCGTGTAAGAAAAAAAGGAGGTAAGCACATGTGGGAAAGAAAAATTTAAAGTAAAAAAGGCTTTCGCTGACGTTGAGTTATCATTTGTTTAAATATTAATGGAGTTAATGCAAGCATCGTGTAAATCATTTATCTGCCTTCTTCTGCCTACTTGGATCAATGCATGCTAATCTACTATCATTATTTGGATCATTAACTAGATTAACTAACTCTCATTACCATCGTCGTCGTCATCAGTGATATCATCATCATTATCATTGTATAGATTGTTATATCTTTATAATAATTGTTGTTGAAAAAAGGCTAACATCAAAATTAATATTTATAATAGCACGTTCAATTGTTTTTTTCTACAATTTCTTATTTTTATCTTATTATTCTTTCTTATTTTTTATTTGTTGGGAAAATGGATTATGGGTCCTGGGAGCTGCATTGTATTGGTTAGCTGTGCAACCATAAATTCTGGGTAATGCCCTCCAGACACAAGCTCTGCTCCTAAAGTTCTCGTCGATCCCCATGGGTAACGCTAATAGCAGGAGGGGCAAAAGAGAGTTCCTGGCGGTTAAACCAGATGACCCGGATTGACAACACCCATTACCAAACTGCCTAGGGTGAGATTAACTCTGATTTCAAAAAACCGAAAAAAGCACACTTATATTGATTAATTAGCAACAATGTTTTATAGTTTATTTGTAGTTTTAAGCATCAGTACAGGTTTCACAAACCAGACGGCTGTGATTTAGACAACATGGTATACCGCATGATAGATATCGGCTTTTGGTTTTCCGATCCGATGAGCGTGGGCAAATGCCACATCTCTTCTGTCCTGAAGATTCTGGTTGCTCTGCCTGAACTGCTATGGCTGGTTGAAAACCTATTGCTTTGAATGCCAGCTTCACTTGCTTCTGCATAACAAACGGATTTTCACTTCGTCGTTGAAGGTGTTCTTCTACCAGCTCTTCAGAAAGATTTTGTAAAAATAATCTTCGTTTGTGCATCTTTTTTTCATTCCATTGTGGATTTTTTGCTATCCAAACAACATATGCTGCAACACAAGCAACATCAATGACGTTAAAGAAGAGTGTCATTGGCCATCTGCTAATTTTTCGTTTGCAGCTGTACAGCCCAACTAGGTGATCGAGATTGTCTACTCCTGATTTTGTTTTGTTGTAATGATCAATAATGTCTGGTTTGTTGTTGTTGTCAACATCAACTGCAGCATCATGATGCATGCTCGAGAGCAGAATTACTGCTTTCCCTTTTTTAGGAACATAGCTGGTCAATGTTAATTGATTGTCAAAACAAAATATTGATGACAATTCTTCCCTTGATCGATTAGGAAGTAATTCTTTTGGTATATCTTGCTTATTTTTTCGCATTGTTCCAACAATGGTAGTTTTCACGGTCAAAAGATCTTCGGCGAGACTACATGAAGTGAAGTAATTATCCATGGTTATATTGCGACCCGTGTTTTTCCATGGTTTTACCAAACGTTTTACCAGATCCAAAACGTTATTTGCACTTGTTCCATCACCAGGTTATCTTCCCACATAAATTTCGCCTTTCAAAGGGTACGATGTCTGACTGTCACAAGCCCAAAAAATTTTTAGACCATATTTCCCAGGTTTGCTGGGTATATATTGACAAAAACTACATTGACCTCTAGTGGCAACTAATTGTTCATCAACCGTAATATTACTGCCAGGTTTATAAACACACGAAAGAGTTGACTGAAACATTTCCCAAAAATCACGTTTTGGAGCAAGTTTATCTGTTGCGCGACGTTCTTAAACTTAAATTAAAATTGATAATGCATATTAAATTTGATGCTATAACATTTATTATTATTATTTCACAATTATTATTATTATTTCACATTTATTATTATTATTTCACATTTATTATTATTATTTCATTATTGCAATACTAATTTTAGTTTAGATGACTTCAAGACTATTGGGGTGTAGGACACCCCAGGTTGACAAAATATGCCGTAAGACACTTCAAACGTTCACATACTCAAAACCAAATATTTGAATTAAGCCAGATTTTGCCATATTCTAGATGAAGGAAGGTTATAAGATGTCACAAAGGTGTATAATTTAATTTGTTCAAATATCTGAGATACAGAGTTATTTATACCCTCTGGGGTGTGATACACTCCAGGTTGATGACATAAGGTTAGGAAAAGAAAAACTCTGATCGCCAACTCGCATTAAAACCACGCGTCAGGCGACATTCATTATTTAGAATTAACCGGTATATCTCTGCAGTTGCAGTCTTTTCTAGTCGTTTTGGAGACTTTCTTGTCCATGCCACAGGGTTCAGATGGCTGCAGCAAAATTTTGTTAACCGAGGGCTTTCGCAACCTCTTTTCATGTTCAAATTCTCCTGTGTCTGTTTTGCGCGCTAATACCAGTGACATGAAACTATTTAAAAAAAGCGGCGATGGTTACACAGGTGATGGATGTAGACTCAAGATGGAATCGGAAGTCTCTAGTCTGTGTGTTGCACAGAAGGGGCCTAGAAAAGGTGGCATGAAATTGCTCGTTTCCAACCTTTTCCCAAATAGGTAAAAGCGTTCATTGGGCATCTTTCTTAGCGGTCAAAAACAATAATTGTTTTTTGGACCTATTTGATTTGCGACCTGAAACGTCCGAACGCTTTTGGACCAAACTGTTATGGAACAACCTGCGCAGTGCACCGCTCTTGTTACCCTCGAGTAATATCAAGTCGACATTGCTGCACTGTCTGAAACTCGTCTGCCGGACAAAGGAAGATCTCTGATTGAAGTGGGGGCAAGATACACATTTTTTTGGATGAGTTTATCATGCAATGATTTGCGGATTCATGAGGTTGGTTAACAAAAAACTTATGTACATGCGCATTTTATTTGCAAAAAATTGTCACATGATCATTTTAAGTGCTTTTGTCCCAACTTTTGACGCAGAAAAATCGGTAAAAGTATGTTCAACAAATGCTTTCGTACCACTCTTCAGAAAATACATAAAGATGACAAAATTGTAGTTCTCGGCAATTTCAACGTAAGGATTGGAGCAAACTTCAGAGCTTCTGGACTGGCACCATTGGCAGACATGGTCTAGAAAGCGCAAACAGTAACGTTAACAGACTTCTCAATCTTTGTACGGAATTTAAATTAGAAAGAAAGAAAGGCTATCCGAATGCACCCGCAGCCACAAATCCACATCTTTTGGACTATATCATAACCAAACAAAGCGATATTTGTTGGACTGATCATCGTCTTGTTGTATACAAATTTGCAAATAAATTAACCCCACCAACTCGTAGACAGTGTTCAGGTAAAAAGGTAAACATTGGGACTTGCCAAAACCTGATAGTGCAAAAAAAACTTCAGGAAGAATTCACCAAACATGCTCAACAAACTGAGCTGTCTACTGTATGATAGCAACCTACTGGTGTTCTTTCAGTGACCTATGAATAGTCACTAATCAGTCCTGCATACTGTCAAGCGCTACAAAGATTTTTGGGTTTTTCGCAAAAAAACGTCAGGACTGGTTTGATGAGAATCGTCTTCGCATTCTTGAATTTTTGCAAACAAAAAATAAAACACATCAAAACAGGCTCTGCAACCCAGATTCACCCGGTTTTAATCTTGCATGGGAAGAATCACATAAAAAGATTCGGCAAGTGCTGCGTTGTATGAAAAACGATTGATGAACAGAGAAAGATAGGAAACTACGGAAATTAGCGGTTGCAAAGAACACACAAAGATTTTACGACTCTCTCAAGTCTGTTGATAGATCGGCCTAGCTTTCTATTCTACCAGTTAAGTCTAAAAATAGTTTTGCAGTACTCAGAGATCTTGAAAGAATTGTATAACGCTGAGCCGAGCCTTTCAGAGATTTTTTGAATTTTGTCAACCCGATTGACCCGACATATATATAAGCCTTTCCAAAACTCCAGGCTGTTGCTGAGGTTGATAAACTTTCTTCTCTTGACGAGGTTCTGTTAGCCGCCAAGAGAATGAAAAATAACAAAACGGCATGACCCGACCAGATATTTCTTGCAAAAATATACAAATATTGTGGTTTCCAATTATGTCAGAGGCTGCATAATTTTAATTTTCAAGTGTGGATTACTGGCATAGTACCACAGCAATGAAAGAATGTAAACGTCCTGACCGTCTACAAAACGAAGATCTATAAACAATAGTGTTGTAACAGACGTGGCATATCTTTGCTCTCCACTGCTGGCAAAATTTTAGTGCATGTCATGTTGAAACGATTTCAAAAATACGTAGTGGATGTTGTCATTCCAGAATCGCAGTGTAGCTTCCGAAGCGTAGCCGTGAATAGAACCAGGATCTTTTCCTAGCCTTCATCGATGTGACGAAGGCTTTTGACACAGTTAACAGAAGCTTGTTGTAGATGACCCTGGGTAGATTTAGCTGCCCGCCAAAATTTCAGACGGTACTGCGTGAATTTCAAACAGGTATGAGGGCTAGAGTCATTGCTGATGGTAAGAAATCTAAACCGTTTGATGTTTTGGCAAAAGTGAAACAGCGCTGCGTTCTGGCTCCTGTGGTTTTTAATTTGTTTCTGACTACCGCCGTTCTTATCTATCGCGATAGTGTTTCGTCTGACGCGGGCATCTTATTTCGTTACCATCTCGACGGCAGCCTCTTTAACATACAACGACTCAAAGCGGAAAGCAAAGTTTTATGCGATTGGATTTTTGAATATGTTTAAGTTTGCATGTACTACCACAGCGGCTGAATATCTAATGTTACAACAACAGCTGCACTGGATAGGTCATGTTATTCGTATGGCCGAGTTTCGGCTACCTCGTAGATTGTTATACAGCGAATTATCGAATGGCTGTCGTTCGGTCGGTCGGCCAAAGATGCGATTCTTGGATCAAGCGAAAAGCCTACTTTCGGCTAACACAACAACAACTTATTTTCACCATACATCGGAAATTAAAGGGTTTCAACCCTCTTCCAAAAATTTATTTTTTTAACTTTATTAATGAAGACAAGATAAAACAATAAATTTGTCATTTTTACCCAAATTAACTGTAAAAATATGAATTTAACAATGGAATTGTTGTCAACTTTTTCAAACAGCTGACACTCTTTAAAACAAGTCTGTAAACCTCTTGATTGTTTTGAAAATTTGTAATGAAATAAATTGATCAAGTCAGCATTTTGTATTTTGGGATTTATACTATATTTATCAATCATTCTTTCTTCAAGCATTGGCATATTGCTTATGGGTGCAATCATTCATCTGTCTGTCCGGTCACTTGCTCCTTAACACTCTTTCGAGTGGCTGTTTTTTACTAAGTTTACGTGGACTGATTACATCTTGTGAGTAACATTGAAATGTTAGCGGTTGGAATTGAAAACTTTTATTTCATTTTTTATTTTTTCAATTCACTCATTCATTTATTCATTTATTCATTCATTCATTCATTCATTCATTCATTCATTCATTCATTCATTCATTCATTCACTCACTCACTCACTCACTCACTCATTCATTCATTCATTCTAATAAATATTCAATCAACTAATCAATAATCCTCTTTAATCTCTTGAGAAAATTTTGAGACTTCAGCCAGATTTTTTTATAAATTTTCAAAATCTCCACCTACACTTGGCCATCCGTTCTTTTAGGAAGTTTTCCAACTCTTTTTCTTCCAGTTTTTTTTCTTTCATCAGTACAAGTTCAATCGATCCAACATCCAGTGTTAGTAAGTATGTGAGCACGTCTTTTCGTACTTTGACCGTCTCTGAGTTCCGCCCCATTTATTGTTTAATTACAAACTTATAAGTTTGTAATAATATAATAATAATAAATAATAATAATAATAGTAATAATGATAATAACAATAAATAATAATAATAATAATAAGATTATTACAAACTCATCATCATTTCATCATTATCGTTATTGTAGGATAAATCTTGAAAATGTTGGAAAATGGAAAAGTAAGAATAAAATCAGAATCCTTTCGGATAGAATCATCTTTCAAAGGTTGTCATCATCATATCATTATTAACTGTACTCATAATCTTCATACTCATTCAGAAATGACTCTAACCACCATCATCAACAATCATCGTCATCAGCACCCTCCTGATTGTAAAATATTTCATCATCGTCATCGTGGTCATTATTCATTGTCACATTTTTAGCATCATTACATCCTCATCATTGTCATCTTGTGAAATCACAAGCAGTGGCTGTGTAATATTATTATTATTGTTATTATTATAATCATTGTCATCATTACAATCTTAGTAATCACTGCTATCACTATAGGGCCACTTTTATCATCATCATCTTCTTCATCTTCTTTTTCATCATCATCATTTTTATCATCATCACATCTTCTACTTCATCGTCATCATCGTATTCATCGTCTTTATCGTCATCATCATCTTTTTTTTTCTTCTTCATCATCATCATCATCATCTTCTTCATCATGGCAAACATGATCAACCAGAAAGAGCAAAACAACGAGCGTGTGATGGTGAATTGATGCCATACAGAAACACGCGCGTGTCTCATGATGTGATTATGATGATGATGATGACGTAATGATGATGATGGTGATGATGATGATTCCGTGATGACGAGGATGACAGTGATGATGATGATGACGATGATGTGATGCGATTATCATGATGATGGCGTAATGATGATGATGTAATGGGAAGAAAGAGAGGATGATAATTTTAAAATGATAATGTTTATTGGGGTTTGGATCTGGTGAGTAAGTGCACAATCTGAATTCGGCGTGAGATGATAATAGTGATGTGATTGAAGATGATGTTGTTGTTGATGATGATGATGATTTTGTTTGTGGTGATGTCACGTGGTGATGGCACGTGAGAATGGATGTCACGTGAAGATGTCATGTGATGATGTCATGTGATGATGTCATCATGTGATGAGTGTGGAATGATGAGGTTGGCTGGCAGTAAAATGTTGTGATGGAGTCAAGAAAGGTCTGAAGTGTTTCAATAAGTAGGACATTAAATGGGATCACCACGAAGAAGAGATGATGGTGATGGTTATGATGATGTTGCTGATGGTGATGATGATGTCGATATCATGATGAGGATACTGATAATGCTGATAATATTACTATTAAATGATAATAAAGGTGGTGATGGTTGTAATTATGACGATGATGATGTCTATTTGATGGTGATAATGATGCTGATGATGATGTAATGTAATGGTGACGATGATGATGATGATGGTGTGATGATGAATAAAGTGGTAGCGATGACAGCGGGGATAACGATAATTTTGATGGTGGTCATGAAGATTAAAATAAGGAATGAGGCGGTTTCGAATCCGGAATCGAATTCGGAGCCGTCAAATTCAACGCTAGAAATTTAGTGAAAACGAGATTCATAATTATTGAAAAAGGCTATTTCAAAAAGAAATTCAACCAAGTAATTTTGACTGCAACGGAAGAGCAAAATTGTTTGAACATTTCTTAAATCATGTGCTAACTAGAGATGGACCGAGTAGTGATTTAGCCAAAAGCCAAATGGCCAAATAGATGATTTGCCATTCGACCAAAACCGAAGGACAAATACTAAAAAACCGCAGTTTAAAAAAAAATTTAAATTTTGAAATGAAAAACAAGAAATTGAGATATCATTAAACAATTTAGATCTATCCAAAATTTTCATAACCAGATAATATTTAATCACTTGCACAAATTTACACATATGATATTCTACAACCATTGTTCTAAAATCAAAAAAAGAGATGAATTTAAAA